ATCCCTAATATCTCAACATGTGGCACTAAAAAAAACCAAGGTACTGTTTCACATTAAAACCAATTGGAGTATCACCCAAAACAGAAAAATACACTCTTCATTATTCGTACATCGTATGAAGTTGTATCAATAAAATAATGTAACAAATCGGATATAGAAACACACAAGTTTTATAACTTAAAAAAAAAACAAAAAATAACTAAAACCCATAGGCGGGTTGAATCACGTAATTAATAAAAAAAATTATTTTTTCTAATAGTAATCAATAATTTTATTAAAATATTATGTGATTTAACTGATAAAATCATTCTTTAAATAACATAATAATTCGATTGATAAAGGCACATTATCACATAAATATTATGATAAAAATTATCTTTTTCATAGATAATAGTATATTAATTAAAATATCATAAACGTGTTATTTTTTCATGAGATTTATTTATAGAAAAAACCGTGCATAGCACGGGCTTATATCTAGTATACTTAAAGACACACCAGCAATGACACGTGTAATTGTCTGGTGTGTTTTTAATTTAGTTTTTTTTTTTTTTTTTTAAAAAAAAAAAATTTGTATAAGAAACAAATCTTATACAAAATTATTTCCCTAACCTTTTTTTTTTTTTTTTTTTTTTTGAAACAATTTCCCTAACCTTATACAATCAATATAATTACTTAAAAAAATGGCATATCTTTAACACGAATTTTTTTATAACTATAAAAAAAAATTTCTAAACACAATTTTGTTCATTTTTTACATCATTTTATATCTAACTTATCTTTCGTAATTCTTTATTTAATAAAGAAATCGTCAGCTATATTTTTAGATTGTTTATATAAAAAAAAATTAATTTAGTTTGGTCCTAATCAGTAGTGGTCAAGTCGATCAAGTAGAGTGTTAATGACTACGGCCTAACAGCTGTTCTAACTACTAAGCATGTTTTAGGCAAATTCCATGACTCCATGTGCTACTACCTACTCCATATTCAATTACGAATAAAAAAAATAATATTCAATTACGAATCAAAAACTTTTGCTAATTCTTTTGCGGTCGAGCATTTCTGGCTGGGCCTAGCCGCGTAATTTTTCACCTAATTTAGCTCATTCACGCCAATTAAAATATTAAATCACTCAATTATCAATATTAATAGGGGCCAATCAAAAATGAATTAAAACCGATTTTAAATCTCCAATTATGCAACATTCCTATCTCAATAATTATTCATTGTTTGTTTTTGTAAAAAATAATTATTCATTGTTTTTTTAAAAGTAACTACTCCCTCATTTTTTAAAAAATAACTACTCCCTCATTTTTTTTGCATGAAACTCTTTGACTCATGCACAGTTTTATGTGATTGAGTTATATTTATTGCGGAGTAAAATATTATGTAATTAGGGTTTGTTGGAGAGTAAAAATGCATTTATAGAGTTCACCAATACTTTTTTTTTCCATTGGGAATCAATACTTTTCATCATTTGGGGACTCACCTTTCTTTTTCCATCATTAAGGGACTTCCGATCATTTAATTAAAAATTTCGCCCACTACAAATTACAAAACTACTTCAATTTCTAAATGTGTTTTAATACAACTGTCACCACAAGGAAGTGCTTACTAGCTTCCTAAAATTCTTAATATATATTAATCAAAGAGTTATTGGCGGCTCTAGTGCTCTACTACGTAGTTACTTTGCTTTCCAGAGACATATTTAATTCTTTTTCACAAACAAAATAATCAATCTTCTCCAACTCCAACAGATTATTTCAATCATTTCAAATTAGAAAAAAAAATTAAAAATTCTTCTTAAGCCATATATATATATATATATATATATATATATATATATATATATATATATATATATATATATATATATATATATATATATATATATATATAATTTTGTGAGTGAGTAACATGAAATTTTAAACACAATAGAGTAAGGCCCTGTTCTGTTCACCTTAAGTAAAAATAATTTCAGTTTAGTAAAAATAAGTTCAGTTCAGTACAATTCAGTTTTCTTAAAGAAGAATTATAATAGAAAATCAGTAAAATTTCAGTTCAGTAAAAATAATTTAAGTTCAGTAAAATTAAGTTCAGTTCAGTAAAAATAAGTTCAGTTCATCAAAAATAATTTTTGTTCAGCAAAATAGTCTTTGATTAAAAAAATAATAAAAAAGGGAGTATATTGTAATACATATTCAATTAGAGCATCTCTAATGATAAGCTACAAAGGCTTGTAGCTTACCTTGATACATCAAAATTTCAAGCTAATTCTTTTAAGCTACAAAGTGTTCCAATGTTGAGCAATAGAATATTATAGCTTGGAAAAATAAATTAAAAAATAAATAAATTTCTATCGTACACATGTCATAATATAAGAGGATGAACCTTTCTATAGAAAATCAAGCAACCAGGATGAACCATTTATTGTCACTCCAATGGTAAGCTACATGCTTACAATTTAATTTAATTTGCATGCAGATCCTTTTTTAATACCATTGGAGATGCTCTTACATATAGTAGGAAAAAAAGAAGTAAAGAATATGAATTACACAAATAACCCTGTAGAATCTTTTATCATAAAATTAGAAAGACGTGTTTTAAATTATATAATATATATATATATATATATATATATATATATATATATATATATATATATATATATATATATATATATATATATATATATATATATATATTTAATAGTAATAGAAAAATTTATATAGAATAAGAAGAGATCGAATAGGTGAATTGTATAAATGAGATCAAGATATATGAGGAAGTATATCCCATTACCTGGTATAGGACAGCTTTGCCCCATACCTTAATAAAAAATTAATTTCTTAAATAACACTTTAAAAACTTCAGCTCTTCAGCAAAGAATCCTATCTCGCGATAATAGCCTTCGTAGAAAGATCTGTCCTTCCTCGTTTGTCGTTAGGATTCAGGCATTCAGCGAGGATATGACTTCAATCACGCTAGGGATTCGTTTGGGTAGCTGTCTATCACTCTTCAAGATATACCGTACTCCCTCCGTTTTTAAATAATTACTTCACTTTTTTTTTCAACCATTTTTAAATAGTTGTTCCATTTTCTTATTTGGAAATCTTTATAATATTTAATTAATTTCTCTCACAGAGTGGACCCACCATTAATATATTTAATTAATTTCATGTTTTCTCTCAACTACTTTTTCTTTTTACAATTTTTTATTCTTTCACCTATCCCACTAGCTCCATATTTTATTATATTCTTCAATTCTCCTAAAACTACGCGCATGGAGAAATGAAGCAAGTATTTAAAAACGGAGGGAGTAAATTTTTTTAACAAACCCACCTCATCAATTATGCCAGTTTTTGTAAAAAAAAAAATAAAATACACTTACTTCACCAAAATTCTTGTAATATCCACCGATAGTCCTCTTAGAACCCGGCCCGTTCACTTTACCTAATTTTTACTAAACAAAAATTATTTTTACTGAACTGAAATTATTTTTGCTAAACTTATATATATATATATATATATATTACTGATTTTCTATTATATTTCTTCTTTAAATTTACTAATTTTTACTACATTGAAATTATTTTTATTGAATTGAACGAAATTATTTTTACTAAACTGAACTTATTTTTACTGAACTATAATTATTTTTGCTGAATATAATTTATTTTGCGGTGAAGTGAACAAGACCTTAGGATGAAAAATAAAAGGTGAATCCCTGAATGATAAATGTATGAAAGGTGAGTCCCCAAAATGTATTTTACTTGTTTGTTGGAGAATATAAATGATTAAGAGTGATAGTGAGGGAATAGTTTATGTAAAAGTAGAATATTAATAAATCATACCACCTCCTGTTATTTTTTAGTTAACATCTTTCATTTATCGCGCGTGCAAATGCGCAATTTTAACGATAATATATCTAATTATTAAACATCGTAAAATTATAAAAATTGAATATTTATAAATGTGTAAGAACTACTTGGCACTAAAGTATAGTCGTGTCGTATTGATTCATTTACTTAAACGTATAAGAACCACTTGTCATGCTATATGAAATAGTATCAACTTCTTCATTCAATATATTTATCAAAAATACCATAAATTATTGTTTTTTTAGACAAGTTGAGTTGTGTTACTTTCGCATTTTGAAAGATACCGACATTATTCAACCTATTTAATTAAACATTTCGCATTTTGAAAGATACCGACATTATTCAACCTATTTAATTAAACATATCATGTTCGATTAATATAATATTATCGTATTGTATCTTTTTTTTTTTTTACTCCCTCCGTTTCAATATGATAGTCCCATATGGAATCTATCACATAAAATAAGAAAAGAAGAATATTTGGAATCTAACATTAAAGTCAAAAACAATTCATAAATAGTTTTGCCTTATTTAAATTTTTTTTTGTTTTTTTAGGAAATTGTCAAGTATAATTGCATAATTCAAGGGAATAATTTCTTTACTTAGACTCATGTCATCAATGCACAATCATTAATTTAACCAATCACAATTTAATATGTATAAAATAGGAAATAAAACTAAGTTAAAAGTAGAATACATTCAATATGGGTATATCTTTTTAAAACGCTCAAAATATTATATGGGACTAACAAATTGAAATGAAGGGAGTATTATTTTTTTTAGAGTTTCTTCTAATGTTGTTTAACTTATCTTGACTCTTTATACATGGAGCACCAAATTACCAATACCAAACATGTGTTCCCAATGCAATAGATTCGACGTACCATGTGCTAAATGTGATGACAAGCTGACAACCCTACTTTTTTTGAGTTATTTATTACTTGGTACTCTAATAGGGCCGACAAACAAAAATTTGTCTTTGTTCTCTACATACTCTGTTATAAGTGAACTACTACCTCCGTTAACTATTATTTGCAACAAAGGAATATTTTATATTTCATAAATAATACCTCTTTGTTGCAAATAATAATTAATGAAGGTAGTATAAAACATGTACTTCACATATAATTCTTAAACCATTTTAAACTCAACACAAAATATTGTTACTTACTTATCATAAATGGATACTCTTAATTTCCCAAAGGAAGAAGAAGAACAACAAGAAGAAGAAGAGTTCCAAGGTATAACAAAGAGTTGCAAGGAACTACTTTTATCCCTTCCTAAAGTTAAAGGATGGAGAACTCCAAATCTCTACCTTTTTCAAAGTTTTTGGTGTCAACCCAAAGAAATCCAAGCCATAATCTCAGCTCAAACCCACTTTGAAGCTCAAGACAGTGATGTGATCGTTGCTACTATTCCAAAATCCGGCACTACTTGGTTAAAAGCTCTTGTTTTCACGATAGTAAATCGATGTCGATTTGATGTCAACTCCATAGACCACCCCTTGCAAAGGTCTAACCCACATGACCTTGTACCATTCTTAGAGTACAAGGTTTATGCAAATAACCAAGTTCCAAATTTATCAAATCTTGATTCTCCGAGGCTTTTTGCATCTCATGTACCTTACAACTCCTTGCCTAAAACCATTATTAATAACTCTAATTGCAAGGTTGTTTACATATGTAGGAACCCTTTTGACACTTTTGTATCAATTTGGCATTTTATGACTAATATTAGGCCTAATAATCTTGGGCCTTTCTCATTAGAAGAGGCCTTTGATATGTATTGTATGAGTCAAGTAGGATATGGTCCATACTGGGATCATATGTTGGGTTACTGGAAGAAAAGTCTGAATTCACCTCAAAAGGTTATGTTTTTTAAATATGAAGATCTGAAAGAGGATGTGAATCTTCAAGTTATGAGATTAGCCGAATTTTTAGGGTGCCCTTTTTCAGCACAAGAGAAGAGAGATCATGTTGTCGAGGAGATTACAAAGTTGTGTAGTTTTCAAAATATGAAGAATTTGGAAGTTAACAAAGATGGAAAATCTATTCTAAACTTTGATAACAAGGGCTTATTTAGGAAAGGTGAGGTGGGGGATTGGGTTAACCTTCTAAGCGAGGAAATGGTTGAAAGATTGAGTCAAACCATGGATGAAAAGTTGGCTGGTACTGGCTTGGAGTTTCCAAACATATTGAAGTCTTAGAGTTTGATGGTTTATAATTTGTTTGTGTATCTTTATGTTTTAAAAATTTGCTTAACATGTGTTTGTACTATCTGTAAACTACTTAGGTTGTCTTATCTTATGCCCTATTTCACCTTTATATGAACTAGTTTTGGGTTCAACAGATATTATGTATTGTTGATTTGATTTGGAATTCATATTTTGACTAGAAGGTCAATCTGTTTTAGCTATTGTCATCATGATCTTAGTTACTTATATGCATTTCTCTCTTCTTCAAAATGATGTACTTTACTAGTTTTAGTACTCCCTCCGTTCCCATTTGTTTTTTACATTTCCATTTAGGGTGTTTCTTTTTATTCTTTACATTTAGGATATTTCCTTTTTAAGTCATTGATTTTAGACAAAATTACCCTTGCTTTACAAATTAAACACTCAATTGCCCTTCACTTTTCATGTGCATATGTACCTTTTATAATATTTTAATGGATTTTCAATACTCATAATTACTTTCTCTCTCATCTCTCTTCTACATCCTTCCAACTTTTTTTTACCCCAGATGTACAATATTCCTTTTTTTAACTATAATTGTACTTTGAATGATTAATTTATGTCAATTCACCTTAATTTTACACAATTTCTTAACAACCGTGCATAATTCCAAACGTAAAGAACAAAAGGGAACGGAGGGTAGATATACATATTGTTTTTGTGTTGAGTTAAGAGTATCCATTTATTATAAGTAAGTAGCAATATTTTGTGTTGAGTTTAAAATGGTTTAAGAATTATATGTGAAAGTATATGTTTTATACTACCTCCGTTAATTATTATTTGCAACAAAGGGGTATTATTTATGAGATATAAAATATTTCTTTGTTGCAAATAATAGTTAACCAAGGTAGTAGTTCTCTTATAAGAGTATGTAGAGAACAAAGACAAATTTTTGTTTGTCGGCCCTGTTGGAGTACAAGTAATAAATAACTCAAAAAAAGTAGGGTTGTCAACTTGTCATCACATTTAGCACATGGTACGTCGAATCTATTGCATTGGGAACACATGTTTGGTATTGGTAATTTGGTGCTCCATGTATCAAGAATCAAGATAAGTTAAACAACTTTAGAAGGTACTCTAAAAAAATATAAAAAAGAGATGTTGAAGGTAAAATCGGTAAAAATTGATACGCTACGATACAATACGACAATGTGATATAAATTGAACATGATATGTTTAATCAAACAGGTTGATTAGTGTCGATATCTTTCAAACTGCGGAAGTAACACAAATTAGCTTGCCTACAAAAACAATAATTTATGGTATTTTTGATAAATATATTGAATGAAGAAGTTGATACTATTTCATATAGCATGACAAGTGGTTCTTATACGTTTAAGTAAATGAATCAATACGACACGACTATACTTTAGTGCCAAGTAGTTCTTACACATTTATAAATATTCAATTTTTATAATTTTACGATGTTTAATAATTAGATATATTATCGTTAAAATTGCGCATTTGCACGCGCGATAAATGAAAGATGTTAACTAAAAAATAACAGGAGGTGGTATGATTTATTAATATTCTACTTTTACATAAACTATTCCCTCACTATCACTCTTAATCATTTATATTCTCCAACAAACAAGTAAAATACATTTTGGGGACTCACCTTTCATACATTTATCATTCAGGGATTCACCTTTTATTTTTCATCCTAAGGTCTTGTTCACTTCACCGCAAAATAAATTATATTCAGCAAAAATAATTATAGTTCAGTAAAAATAAGTTCAGTTTAGTAAAAATAATTTCGTTCAATTCAATAAAAATAATTTCAATGTAGTAAAAATTAGTAAATTTAAAGAAGAATTATAATACAAAATCAGTAAAAAAAAAAGATAATATTTTCAGTTTAGCAAAAATAATTTCAATTCAATAAAAATAATTTTTGTTCAGTAAAAATTAGGTATAGTGAACGGGCCGGGGTCTAAGAGGACTATAGGTGGATATTACAAGAATTTTGGTGAAGTAAGGTTTTTTTTTTTTTTTTTTTTTTTTTTTTTTTTTTTTTTTTTTTTTTTTACAAAAATTGGCATAATTGATGATGTGGGTTTGTTAAAAAAATTTACTCCCTCCGTTTTAAAATACTTGCTCCATTTCTCCATGCGCGTAGTTTTAGGAGAATTGAAGAATATAATAAAATATAGAGTTAGTGGGATAGGTGAAAGAATAAAAAATTGTAAAAAGAAAAAGTAGTGGAGATAATTATATTGAAGGAGAGAAAACATGAAATTAATTAAATATATTAATGGGTCTACTATGTGAGAGAAATTAATTAAATATTATAAAAATTTCCAAATAAGAAAATAGAATAAGTATTTAAAAATGGTCGGAAAAAAATGAAGTAATTATTTAAAAACGGAGGGAGTACGGTATATCTTGAAGAGTGATAGACTGCTACCCAAACGAATCCCTAGCGTGATTGAAGTCATATCCTCACAGAGTACACAATTATAATATATTTTAACACGACTCAACCTGACTAAGAAAAAAAGCTAATAAATTATGGGAATTTTGATAAATTTATTGAACGAGGCTAATATTTTTTCATATAGCACGACAACATGACATAACAGTGACACGAAAAAAGCGGGTTTGTGTCAAGAGTTTCCGACTTGTTAATTAAACGGGTCAACATGACACAACATGTTTATTAAATGGGTTGGGTTGGGTTAGTGTTGAAGCTTCTTAACCCGTTTCATTTCAGACTAGGACATAACACGACATGACACAACACATTTGTCAACTCTAATTTAAAAATTTAAAAATACTAAGTAAAAGATAGGGAAAATATTGTAATATAAATATGGAAAATACATGAATCAAAATTATTACAGTTATATGATATGGTGATATTTTGTGCAAATTTATAGTAGTAAGTAGTTGATAGTATATATTGGCAAAAAAATAAAAAAAAAATAAAATGAAAAAAGAGAAGGGTATCTTTGGAGTGAAAAAACAACATCAGGAATAGACACGTGTTATTTCTGATGTCCATTATATATATATATATATATATGATTGAATGATAGATAAGAATTGAACCTACCCTTAGATTGAAATATTCCATTCTTCCTTTTATTTCTTGCACTAAGCCAAAACTTTGTTAATCTTTACACTTTATATTTTGCTGCTAATATTTGCTAGTGTCACTAATCAAAGTTGTTGATAGTTAGCAGCTAAACTCTTTTGTAGCTAGTTATTACTTATTTAATGCTATGATTGTACATTTGTACGAGTAAAGGTAAAATACAGTTCCTAAACTTTTGTATTTGTGCACTTTTTGTCTCTGTCAACTTTTTTGTACACTTTTGGTCCCTCCTCCATCACTTTAGGTGTTTTCTAGGCAAAAGTTTAGGGACTAAGCCTAGTCACCAATAGTTTAGGGACCATGACTCATTGTATTATTTTGTTGTTTAAATTTTTATATGTCAAAATTTTATTTAACACCCCCATTAATAACAATAAATAAATAAAAAATTCCTTTATTTTTTCTTTAATTAAAAAAAAATCTCTATTTTTATTTAAAAATTATAAAAATAAAAAAGCCATGTAATTCCCCTATCACCATTGCTGCTACTCAATCCCCACCGCAACTATCACCAAACACAGCCCATGCCTCCTCTAACCTCCCGTACGACCGTACCGCACTATTACCAACCTTGCAACTTGCATTAATTCACAACACCACCACTTCTGCTACTCCTATTCTCATGTCACCGCAACCCCATCTCCCCCTTCACGCATCTCCACCATAACAACCTAATTCACGCAGCCGCATACCCAACACCAGCCCGCCATTGCAATCCAAACCAAAGCTTAAAATGTTTCATCAACCGAAGTAATTTCAAGCCTTGTAATCATATACCACCCGAATCACCATTAATTCCACCATTAGAGAGCAATTACATCTGCATTAACCCAGATAAATCCTTAAATCCGGCCAAATTTAACCCATTCTTAAACACCCTTAAGTGTGAGCAATTGTTGATGTAAGCTTTTGTGGGGTCATGGTGGGAAGATTAGGGAGGATTCAGCGGAGATTTCAAGGGGGGAAATCAGGGTTTGTTCATTGTTTTGTTGGTGGTTGAGGTTGGGTTTTTTAAGGGGTGAGAGCCATTTTTGAAGGAGGAGAGGGAATTGGAAGCCATGGGTGAAGGGAGGATAGAGAAAATTGGGAAGGGGGTGTTAGGGAAGAAGGGGAGAGAGTAGAATCCATGAAAAGATAAAGCTTAATTTTATTTTTTTCCTGTCAATTTTTTTTATAAAGAAAAATATTATTTTTAATTACTTTTGATTTATAATTAAAGCTGATTTTAAAAATAATGCTGTAAAAAAAAAGAGTAATAATGACAAGTATAGTAATTAAAAGATTCTTTTTTAATAAATTCCGAAGAAAAAAGAAGGAAAAAAAAAATATAAGTCATGGTCTCTAAACTATTGATGACTCAACATCCCTAAACTATCTTGCTGACTCATAGTCCCTAAACTAATGCTTAGTCAGCATAGTCCTTAAACTTTTGCCTAGAAAACACCTAAAGTGGTGGAGGAGGGACCAAAAGTACACAAAAAAGTTGACAAGGACTAAAAGTGCACAAATACGAAAGTTTAGGGACTGTATTTTACCTTTACTCATTTATATAGTGAGTATATGTAGAATAAACACAATATTTTGTACGTGGGAACAAATGTAGAGGAGTTAAGCTAAAATACAGTCCTTGAACTTCGGTATTTGTAGCAACAAATGTAGAGGAGTTAAGCTAAAATACAGTCCTTGAACTTCGGTATTTGTAGCAATTTAGTCCCTCAACTTTCAAATGAAGCAAAATGGTCCCTCAACCACCAATGACTCACTTTTCAGTAGCTTACTAGGCATAGTTTAGGGACCTTAGTGCACATGTGGCAACAGATTTAATGATTTTAAATGCAAAGTTTAGGGACCTTCAACTAATGAGTTGGCATTAATAAAATTAGAAATGAAAGTTTAGGGACTTATAGGGTGAGGTGGCTAATTTAATTATTATAGGCCAAAGTTTAGGGATCTATGAGACACATGGTGCTCCCATACAAAGTGATTATAATTTATAAGTTTTAGCCCATTCAATTAAACTAATTAAATTTCAACTAAACCAATTTAATTTTAGTAAAAATTATTTGCTTTATAAAAATAAAAATATTTAAGTGAGATAATTTAAGCTAAGAGTGAATTAATGGTCACACATTTAGTCAATAATCTAAGGCAATTATATTCTCCTAGAAATTAACATAAGAAAAAAGGGGAAAATAGGTAAACCCTTAAAATTGTCTCACGTAAAACCTAAAAAAAATTGAAAATCATTTAGAACACAAAACACCTAGGGAAAAAACCTTGAAATTGACACACAAAAACCCAAAAAGGTGAAAACCTTTTAGAACATAAACTCATGAAAAATAAAATATCAATTATGAGAAAAGTAGGGTGGTATTATTTTTATTCTAGTTTCATAATTTTTTTAGTTTTATATTACAAAGTTTGGGTTTGTCTTACTCATCACTCACTTTGAAAACACAATACATTTTTGGTTTTTTATTTATTTTTATTTCAATTTATATTGGCGTATGAAATATATAAGGGGTTAAGAGTTAGGAGTTAGGATTTGAAGATATGTGGTTAATGAGTTTGGTAGGGATATATTATTGTACAAAAAAAAAAAAAATTGATTATCAAAAAATGGTAGGAACTAAAGGAATGATAAAAAAATACATATAAAATACATCATGATTATCAAATTTTATTAGCAATTTTTATTCTTGCCAACTCACTTTAAAAATATTTGGTTAATAAAAACTCAGTTTATAAATAAGTAAGCTTCTGTTTATATTTAATTTAATTAATGACTTGTAATCTAACAAGTCCCTATACTTTTGTTTGAAAAAAACAAGTGTAGTCCCTAAACTTTTGCTTACTCATCGCTGGAAGTCCTTGAACTTTGGCTTAGTTGGCATTGACACCCCTAAACTTTGCTGACTAGGAAGTTCCTCCACCAGAAATGGTGAGGAAAGGGTGGTTGAGGGACCTTTTTGCTTCATTTTAAAGATTAGGGATCAAATGTGCTACTAATGGCAAAGTTGAGGGACCGTATTTTAGATTAACTCCTATATAAATGGACTATATAAAACAAAAAATACATATATTTCTTAAAATCATTCCAACTTCTATCTCAAAATATTACTATAGTTTACTACATACTTATCTTAAATGGATACTCTTAACATCCCTAAAGAAGAAAAAGAGTTCCAAGGCATAACACAAAATTGCAAGGAGCTAATTTTATCCCTTCCTAAAGTTGAGAGCTCCAAATCTCTATCTTTTCCAACGTTTTTGGTGTCAACCCAAAGAATCCAGGCCATAATCTCAGCTCAAACCCACTTTGAAGCTCATGATAGTGATGTGATCATTGCTACTATTCCAAAATCCGGTACTACTTGGTTAAAAGCTCTTGTTTTTGCCATCGTGAATCGACGTCGTTTTGATGTCAATCCATACACCACCCCTTGTTAAGGTCTAACCCTCATGACCTTGTACCTTTCTTGGAGTACAAGGTTTATGCTAATAATCAAGTTCCAAAGTTGTCAAATCTTGATTCTCCTATGCTCTTTGCATCTCATGTACCTTACAATTCCTTGCCTAAAACCATTATTAATAACTCTAATTGCAAGGTTGTTTACATATGTAGGAACCCTTTTGACACTTTTGTATCAATTTGACATTTTATGACTAATATTAGGCCTAATAATCTTGGGCCTTTCTCATTAGAAGAGGCCTTTGATATGTAATGTATGGGTCAAGTAGGATATGGTCCATACTGGGATCATATGTTGGGTTACTGGAAGGAAAGTCTGAATTCACCTCAAAATGTTATGTTTTTTAAATATGAAGATTTGAAAGAGGATGTGAATCTTCAAGTTATGATATTAGCCGAATTTTTAGGGTCCCTTTTACAGCACAAGAGAAGAGAGATCATGTTGTCGAGGAGATTACAAAGTTGTGTAGTTTTCAAAATATGAAGAATTTGGAAGTTAACAAAGATGGAAAATCTATTCTAAACTTTGATAACAAGGGCTTATTTAGGAAAGGTGAGGTGGGGGATTGGGTTAACCTTCTAAGTGAGGAAATGGTTGAAAGATTGAGTCAAATCATGGATGAAAAGTTGGCTGGTACTGGCTTGGAGTTTCCAAATATATTGAATTCTTAGAGTTTGATGGTTTATCATATTGTATGCGTATCTTTATATTTTAGAAATTTGCTTCATATGTGTTTGTAATATATATATAAAGTACTTAGGTTGTCTTATCTTATATTATGCCCTATTTCACCTTTATATGAGCTAGTTTTGGGTTCAACAGATGTTATGTATTGTTGATTTGATTTGAAATTCATATTTTGACTAGAAGGTCAATCTGTTTTAGATATTGTCATCATGATCTTAGTTAGTTATATGCATTTCTCTCTTATTCAAAATGATGTACTTTACTAGTTTTAGTAGAAGATATAATACATATGTATGCCTAAACTAAATTTTTTGTAACCATCAATGATCAATCCAACATCATTGGTTTTACTTCCAAAAAGTAAATATATATATATGTTTGACAACTTTCTCTCTTCTTTTCTTCTCACGCTAAGGGTGAGTTTATCCCCAAACTCGGACCCAGACTTCAGACTCTGCCACATCAGCTTTCCACTAACTTTAAAATACTTTTATATTATTCAGATTCATACAAGACTTTCTCCAAATTTACACATTATCTCAAGACTCACTCCAAACTCATTTAATCCTTTTCAAAATATTTTTATTTTTTGTAAAATATCTTTTTTTATTTTTTAAAAAATTACTGTAAACTTGTAGTTGGTGAGGTGGCTAATTTTCATTGGCCTTGCAAAGTCTTGACATGGGTTTGGATTTTCCAAACTCCATGTAAGACTCACATGAGTCTTAGATGAGTTTATTTCAAGAATCTTGAGTAAGACTCATGTTGAGACTTTGCTCAAGACTTGCAATAATTTTACCCTAAGTGGAAAGGATAAGATCAAACTTAGTACGTATTTTATCTTATGGTAGTCATTTTTCGGATGACCCACAACTTTAACTTTTGATGATGCTAATTTTAAACACAAATTTTTGTAGGTGGCTGACCACACCGTGTGGCCAACCACAATTTTTATTATTTTTTTAAAAAATACCACAATTCTTCTCTCTCCTTTTTTCTTAGCTTTTTCTCCAAGCCAAGCCACACATCACCAACAACCATATCTCTACTCCACCCATTTTCTCTCTCATCTTTTCTTAGCTTCTTCTTCAAGCCAAACCACACATCACCAACAACCATATCTCTACTCCACCCATTTTCTCTCTCCTCTTTGCCAAATTGCTGCAACTAAAGCCCGGAATTGTAGAAATTTGGTGTCAAATTGCTGTGAAAAATTGTGATTAATTATCCTTAAGATCATCAACAACATTTGAAGTAGTGAATCGATGAGAACCAAAGAAATTTGAGCTCGTTTCCTTCATAGAGTCTTAGATCTAACATTGTACGTAAAAAATTGTAGGGTGTTATTGGTTTGGTCGGGGGTTACTTGTAGGGTGTTATTGGTTTGGTCGGGGGTTACATGTAGGGTGTTACTGGTTTGGTCAGGGGTTACATGTAGAGTGTTACTGGCTAGTTTTCTCATGGGCTACTTGTAGGGTGTTATTGGTTTTGATCAGGGGTTACTTGTAGGGTGTTACTGGTTTGGTCAGGGGTTACTCGTAGGGCGTTACTGGTTTTGGTCAAGGGTTAATTGTAGGGTGTTACTGATTTGGTCAGGGGTTACTTGCTGGGTGTTACCGGTTTTGGTCAAGGGTTACTTGTAGGGTGTTACTGGTTTGGTATGGGGCCTACAAGCAACCCTTGAATAAGTAACAAGTAACCATTGAATAAGTAATTCATACAAGTAACCTTTGAAGTAACTCATATAAGTAACCTCTGAATAAGCTAAGTAACTCATACAAGTAATCCTTGAATAAGTAACTCGTACAAGTAACCCTTGAATTAACCCATACAAGTAACCCCTGAAAAAAAATACAAGTAACCCCTGAAAAAAAATACAAGTAACTCCTGAAAAAAAAAAACAAGTAACCTCTGAAATTACAAGTAACCTCTGAAATTACAAGTAACCTCTGAAATTACAAGTAACCCCTGAATAAGTAATCCATACAAGTAATTCCTGAAAAAAAATTTACAAGTAACCCCTGGAAAAAAAACATATACAAGTAAACCCTGAAAAATACAAGTAACCCTGACAAAACTAGTAACCCCGTTATACGCGTGAATAGTAACCCCATTATATGCGTCTAAATCCGTTATTGCAACAGGCCACACGGTATAACCTGCTGCACTAAAAAGCTCTAAAATTTAAAAAGTACGAGTACATTGAAAAGTTTGAATAAACAAATCCGTACCAAAAAAAAAAAAGCATGAGTGTAATGAATTGTCATAGACTCATAGTACGTGCTTCCCATAATGTCATTTGCCGTACTTTTTTAATGTTTAAAATAAGGGATCTAATTAACAACTAACGATTAGAAGGCTTAAATTTAATTTATTCATTTTTTTTCCTTCTTTGTTTATGAAAGGATAAATATGCTTCCATGTTTCAATAATTAATTTGATGTATTATTATTATTTCATCCACCAAATTTCCACGAGAATTGTAGAAAGAATAAGGAAATCGCAAAAAATGGAAGCCAAGCTTCTATTATTCAGCACAATGTTGATCTTTGCCTGTGTCTCCTTTCCAGTCTATTCATGGGTAAGAATCAAAATTTTTGTTTGTTGTTAGATGATCATTCTCGTTTTTGTTCTTTTTCGATTGATTTAGTTGATCACGAGTTTAGCAAATACTCCGGCGTATAGTATTGTTTAGTTGACCTTTAACTGAAAATAACTCTCAAGAGTCATGAAAATAACTCGCTAGGTAGGAGACTTTAGTGTATGTGTTACTATTTCCGTTTCATATTATTTGCAATACCGATTAGGCATTTTTCCTCTTTATTTATGTCAAATCGTTGCAAATAATATGTAACGAGATAATATATATTTTGGTAGCAGTTAGATGTTTTGAAGATGGAATGGTAGCAATTAAGATGAAAGTCCGAATGTTTGACTGAAAAGTTTGTAGATTGGTCTTTGGCAAAATAGATTAATTACAGAGATTGTCGAAACATCCAATACCACAGGCAATCAATTAAACTACTCAATTTAAACCGGTTATATATTTTTTTTTTGAGGGAAAATTTAAACCGGTTATATTAATCAGTTATTATAGCTTAGCGGGCGATATATATTCATTTGTCTTGTTTCTTTATTTATTATTTTTTAATACTAGAACGGACTTGTTTTGAATCTTATTATTGAAATTTTCTCTATGGCGGATAAACGATGCTCCGTGCATCCGTTTTCTCTTAAAAAAGGCGGAATGAACATTCCGTTGTTCAGTAAAGAACATACATTTGTTTTGTAAAGAACATATAGCTATTTCATAAAGAACATCACATATAGATGTATTGTAATGAACATATAGTTGTTTTATAAAGAACATATGACTATTTTGTAAAAAAAAAACATCCAACTTCATGTTCTTTATATACATCTAAAGAACATCCGTAATATTAATTAAAAACATGATAATTAGAGGTGATCAACTTCGGCCCGATAAAAACCCGAAAAGCCCACTACATTTTTCGAGTTTTTTTGGACACGAGATATTATGTTAAGGCCCAGTCTGACCTGAATTTTTTATCACCTCTAATGATAATATAATGTAATGAACATTATTTTTATTCAATCACCATAATCTAAAGACAAAATTCAAAGAACATTCAAAATAAACAATTAACATATGTCACAAATAAAAGTACATTATTCTGACAATCAAAGAACATGAAGATAAAGAACATTATTTAACTAGACATTATGTTCTTTACAATTTTATAACATGTTCTTTGCACTTTAACTGAATGTTCTTTACATTTCTATACGATGTTCTTTACAATTTTATAATATGTTCTTTTCACTTAAACTAAATGTTCTTTATATTTCTATGCAATGTTTTTTCCGCTTTTTTTTGGAAGAGATGCATCATGTGGATCGTGCATCCACCTGCACGAACCATGCATTATCTTATTATTAATGTTGATGATTCAATTAGTGAATTGCTATTTGCCACAATGAAATTACTCAAGCTATAGTATTAAAAGACTTTTATGCCCCTTATAATTTTGAAAATTACTTAACAATCCAACCATTATTAACTACTAACTTTGTCTTAGCTCCACCACCCATACCACCACTCACCTTTGACTGGGCCACCACCACGACTCCACCTTGACCGGTCCACCACGACTCCACCTTGACCATCATACACCACAACTCCACCTTGAATGGTCCACCACATATAAAATGAGTCGACGACGGTCTCGGAGGCATTTGGTGGGGACGACAACCGTCGAGTCAAGTATATGTCGAACTTTTTTTTCAATTTTCGTTGTATCCGGTCGCATGTTATATGCGACTACACCGTGGTATAGTCGCATATAGCATGCGACTATGCCATGATACAGTCGCATGTTACATGCGACTACATGGTAGAGTCGCACGCTATATGCGACTGTACCGTGGCGTAGTCGCACGCTATATGCGACTCCACCACGGTGTAATCGCATGCTATATGCGACTATGTCGTGGTGGAGTCGCATATAGCACGCGACTATGGTTTTTGTGCGAAAATTAAAAAAAAAACTTACCGATGTTTTCCCCACATTTCTCGGCAAATGAACCCCCTTCCCACGCCGCGATTTCATTGTCGTCGGCCTCTTCCTTTTTCCGGTTGATTTGGTATGATAAGTGGTTGATTTGGTGTGATAGATAATGAGAAAATTGGATGATTCCGGCGACCTTAGGGTGCTGGTGGTGATGGTGTTTAATGTGATGGTGATTCCGGCAACCTTAGGGTGGTGGTGGTGGTGATGGTGTTTAGGGTGATGGTGGTGGAAGGAGTATGGTTGGTGAGAAAAATTGAATGATGTCAAACATGTAAGTTATAAGGGTAAATGAGTAATTTAATACCGCGCACTAAGTAATTCTATTGTGGCATTTAGTAACCCCCCGTAATTCAATCCAGTGGTGGATGAGATTTAAACCTATGACATTTGTATCACGTTGGCCTGGTTTAGTTAACCATCTCAACCATAAATTTAAAGTGATGGTTTAAGCCCGTGAATGTGTTTTTATACTCTATCAATTTACACATTTATCTAACCTAAAATACATAATTTGTTCAATTCTTTCAGGATTATGATGAATGCACCTACGTAATCTACGTGCAAACCGGCAATGCACAAACCGTAACAACGTATGCTAAAGTGAACCTTGAATTACGTGACAAATATTTCAATCGCTTTAACATCACAAACCTTCAATCTTGGGGGATTATGAGCAAATATCATTACTACTTTAGAAGTGGAAATTTGGATACATTTGCTGTGAAAGGCAATTGCTTAAGAGGCCCCCTTTGTAGCATGACATTAAGTCATGATAACACCGGCGTATCTCCCGGCTGGTACGTGGACTATGTTGAAGTTACCTCTATTGCACCAAGTCGGGGTTGTCGGAAGATTAATTTCCCGGTTAATGCGTGGTTGGCCGTCGATGAGCCACCGTTTGGTACCGCTAGTCGGGGTGTGTGTTTGTGTGATGAGATTATTAGAGATGATGTATATGCTCCTAGCTAGAAGATTTGATTCGGCCTCTAATTTGGTTATGCTACAATTATATAACTTGTAGTGCATTATTGCTTAGTTATTGATTGAGTTTTGCCCTTTGGCTTTAATTGGAATGTGTGATGAAAATGAGAAATGTGTTGTATGTATTGGGATATTTTTCTATTTAAGTAAGGGATAGGTCAAGTGGTTAGAGCTTCCCTCCCGATCCAATGAGGTTCTGGGATCGATTCTCACCCCCGCCCTTGTGGCTCTCTAAACACCAAAAAAAAAAAGATTAGCACATTAATTTTCATTGTTTGTAACTTTTTATGTTCATTTTAATTTGTCCTATTAGAGATAAATTAACAATCTATAAGCTTTCATTTAAGACGATCTTGTTAGATTCATCTTGTTGTATAGTTTCAAAATATGTAATATTAACTTTTTTTTTATACTACCTCCGTTAACTATTATTTGCAACAAAAGGGTATTATTTGTGAGATATAAAATATAACTTTGTTGCAAATTATAGTTAACGGAGGTAGTACTTTTCTCAATATATAATGCATTGTTAAAAGTATTAATGTTTTACCTAATGAGTTGAAATTATGAAAAAACAAATAAAACAAACAAAAAGGAATAAAGCCGGTGTTAATTTAACAATAATTTTGTAACCTTTAATGTATTTCATAACTCTCACTTTTAGTGTAGAACTAGTTTAAGTCCCGTGCAATGCACGGTTTTTACTTAGCATATTTATAAATTATAATGTTAATTTAACAATAATTAAAAATAATAAAATTTAATATTTTTAATTGAAACAATACTTGATATTCTTTTCCATTGGATTTTATATTATATTGATATCAAAAGTTATTTAAAAAAGAAGAAGCAATATTTAATGATTATAGGGTTTTATATAAGATTAAAATGTTATGTTAATTATAACCCGTGAAATGTACTTATGTACCCCATATATCCTTATTTTGTTGGCATGTTTTGACTGGCACAATGTTTTATAGCATACTTTGACGGTATAATGTTTTATACAAATTTAATTGAATATTTTTTTTTGTGACAATTAATAATCAAGGTTTTTTAATTTTTATTTTATAGTTATTGAATTGTAGTGTTATTTTTATAAATAAATCAACAATTCTAAAAAAAATATATATATATAAATAATAAATAAAAGGAAATGTAACAATCCCGGTTGGAGCAAAAAACCTTTCAAAGGAAAAAAAAAATATGATGTAGAATGATATGAACTATGGAAAACTGGAGTTTTACATTATTCCAATATTCCTTATATTATCTTATATGTAGTATATGTTTGTTTGATTTAGAAAAATACCTATTATAAAATATTATATATATGTCAAAACATTTTCATTGATTGAATGCATATAAAATATACTTTATATATAGTTGTCAAATTAAAAGTTAAATATTATAGGATATTATAAAATAATGTTCATAAATATTGTTAAAAAAAAGGAAAGTAAAAGTGGCGGGAATTTTTTTAATCAAAACATGACAAATGTCATATCAGATTCGCCTTTAGTATTATGTTATTGATTCCAATATTCCTTATATTACCTTATATGTAGTATATATATGTTTGTTTGATATAGAAAAATACCTATTATAAAATATTATATGTCAAAATATTTTCATTGATTGAATGCATATAGAATATATTTATATATAGTTGTCAAATGGAAAGTTAAATATTATAGGATATTATAAAATAATGTTCATAAATATTGTTAAAAAAAGGAAAGTAAAAGTGGCGGGATTTTTTTTTAATCAAAACATGACAAATGTCATATCAGATTCGCCTTTAGTATTATGTTATTGATGTTGGAGAAATTATTGAAATTATACCTCGTACAAACGAGTGTCGCAACTTGCAAGTAGAAACTCTTTTATGGGCACCATCTGCAGTCCTCATGTTGTAGCAGTTCTCAGATGCTCCCGTGGCGCATGGTAGTTCGTAGTGCATGACTGCTTTTTCTGACGTTGATAGTCATATGGATTCACAGGAGTTGGTGGGAGAAGTTAGTGATTCCAGTTTTCAGTTTTCCACTTTGCATTCAGGTGCCAAGTCTTCGGGTCAACCAGTTCACCAACAACATCTTTTTCTCATCCACGGTTTAGGAAAATAAGTTCTTTGATTATTCGAATTAGATCATCTATAGGTTGCCAGGTGGTTCATGTGGGTGCAAAGCGTGATGGCGGGCCTAGAGTGGACTTCAAGTACTCCGTCTTGGCTCAAACAAAGTTTGTTCGAAAGTGTTTTTGCTTAGTCTAGTTTGTTGGTTGTCTTTGTTTTCAGTTTTTCTTTAACAATGCTCATTGTACAAAAAAAAAAAAAAAAACCACTAAAAACACAAAAAACTTGCAAGTAGAGCTCTTCTAAGAAAATTTAACATCATAATAAGAAAAAAAAAGTATAAAACAGGTGGTAATTGAGTAATTTTTTGCAACCTTTTTTTTTTTTATATAAAATTAAATAAAGGATTTTTTTTGTAAATAACCACCCCAAAATTTACCCTGTATTGAATTTACCACCCATTTTTTCGAAATTAAAAATTACCACTCATTAATGTCAAAACCAGTAGATTTTACCACTCTTTTTCAATTCTGGCCAATTTTCTGACTAGTTCAGCCAGTTTTCCGACTTAGGGCCCACAAAATATAAAATCAAAATTATATTATAAAAAAAAAACCCAAATGACAGGGTAAAGTCGTATCCCCTAATCAAAAGTAATTCTTAAATCCTCTAACTAATGTAGATAGGGAAGTAGGGTCGAACTCCATAAGGAAACAAGTCTTTCTATTCCTAATTAACTAATATAATCTAGATTATGAAGTAACCAATATTTATATTTGAATAATAAACTAAACTATGAAGATTAAGAATAGGGAGAAAACAATAAAAAACAGGATCTAGGGCATAGGTTCACCAGTAAATAATATTCCAGGGTAGAATATAATAATCATTCATCAATGCATACATTAATCAGATTATAAAGGGCTTTCGCTACGTATTACAATCACACAATTAATTTACCGGTATTAAATCTCATCTTTCGAATATCGACTTAACCATTTATAAATTAACCCTGCCTATTGAAACTAGACCTAAACATTAATTCTCATCTGTCGAATCTCGAATCAATATTGTTAAACTCATGCATAAAAGATCTGCGCATATCTAGTCACAGAGCATTAAACCAATCAATAGGAAATTAATCTAGCATTGATAATTAACAACAATAAATTACCCCTTCATATTATTTATGGATCCCCATAAACCCTAGAAAGAAAACTATTCACACATAATAGAAACTAAACTAATCAAAGCAATAAAGCAAGACATGATTAAAGGAATAAAATAAACAACTAAGATTAAGAGAAGAGAAATCGTTACCAAAATAAATCTGGAATTAAGAGTAGATTAAGAACAAAGGTTTAAGAGAAAGAAATCTAAGAAAACAATTAAGAGAGTAAAGAAAGAAAAAGAGAGAGAGAGAGTAAAATCGTATTACGGAAGAGTATTTATACTCCGTACAAATCCTAAACTAAAACAAACTAAAACGACGCTAGTCGTCTCCTAATAAATACACGCGCCCGATCGGGCGAGGCACCGCCCGATCGGGCGCGCCTTTTTGCTTCCTCAATACAAATCTCGCGCCCGGCCGAGTGCGTCTATGGGCGCCAACCTTAGCTTCTCCCGCCCGGCCAGGCGCGCCTCCGGGCGCCAGCCTCTTTGGCCGGGCAGCTCACTTGGGCCACTATTTGGACTACGATTAGGCCTTAATTCTTCGGGCCAATCTGGGTTTCCTCTTTTGGTCTTGAATACTCGGTCCAAATGCCCCGATATCACCTATACCGAGCCCTTAATCACCGGTTCGATGGCTCTAACCGGCCCTGGGCTATAGAATTTGGTCGTGCTTTTCCAATGTTCGTGATTGCTCCAAAATATCTCGTGAAAATACTCCAAAAGCATAAATCCCTGCAAAAGTCAACCAAATCTACGAAAACACTAGAAAACACCAATTAGTAATAAAAGTGGCTCTAAAGAGCCAAAAACACTACTAATTACGACCAGGGGACGGGGGTAAAATATTATATAAAATAGACGCATCAAACTCCCCCAAGCCAATCCTTTGCTTGTCCCTAAGCAAAGATCTCATCAATGAATCAATAAATATGCTTCACCCCAAAAGTAAAAATCAAGCGCAAACGATCCAGGGTAAATAAAAATAAACACGCTTCAAAATCAACCAATCAAATCCATCTAATTACCAATCTTCCCTAACGATTGTCAAACAGAGCAAACCATAAGAGCATATAGAATTCAAGACTAGTGCTCACGCACTCAACTCTCATTTTTGTGGCGAGTAAAATATGTACTCGATCGCTCTCCATCCAACCCCTTTATGTGAATAATGCCCACCCATCTCACACTCTCGTGTGTATAAAACAATGAACGCTCAACCTACTAGTCGACTCGAAATATGTCAAATCATAACTTGCATTGATAAGCAACACTTTCACATTCATACAATTCTATGCACAAGGTTGGAAGGTCTTTAAAGCTTGTAATGTAAGGCTAGGGTAAAGGGTAGGATAAATTTGGGAATATGTGAGAGAAAAGCTATGCATTAAGGGAGCCAAATCCTATCAAAACCCATGATCAAAATAAATAATGATCAACATCTCCTACATAACCAACTCTAACATCAACCAAATATACTCCAATCATAATAAACAATCCCAACTCTTACATATCACTCATAAGATATAATAATTAAGAAGTGGAGTGAATAAACAAACTTTATTTCCAAACTTGAATTTTTTTATTGAAGCTCAATTATTTTTTTCTTTTGATCAACCTCCACCTAGAACATTTGAACATTGAACACTTTTCTTTTCTTTTGAAGTTCACTTATTTTTTTCAACATATTTTTTTTTCTTGAACTTCTCTTTTTTTCTTCACAACATCATGCTTTATTTTTTCAAGAAAATATAACTCTCAAACTCATCAAAAATAAACATGATCAAAAACAAAATAACTTCTCAAAACCCACCCAAATTGTGCAAATAATAAGCACACTACAAACTCCCTCACCTCACTCACTAATAGCTCCCCCAAGTCAAGCTTGAGACTAGTAATCAATGGGGCAAAATAGGCTTGTAATGTGGCTAATAAACAACAAAAAGTCAAGGCAACAACATGGGTAGCAAGAAGGGAACAAATGTA